AAAAATTAAATTATTATTTTTTAAACATCTGAAATTCCCAACCCTGTAGTTGGGTACTGTCAGGTTACTATCAAGAATTGCGAGTCTTGCCTCCAAATATGACTGCTCAAATCTTTGTAGTTTTCGAGATATGACGAATTTTGTGATTTTTTCAAAAAAATTTCAGAAAATTTGTATTATTTTTTTCCGCAAATCTGAATTTCCCAACCCTGTAGTTGGGTCCTGTCAGAGTGCTCTCGAAGATTGCGAGTCTTGCCTCCAATTCTCACTTCTCAATTCCTTGTAGTTTTCTAGATATGACGTTTTTTGAGATTTTTTCAAATGTTTTTCAAAATTTGAAATTCCATCCGCTATAGTTCGGCGTTGTCAGGGTACTCTAAAGAGTTGCAAATCTTGCCACTTGCGACTGTTGAACGCGACTGCTTAAATGCTTTTAGTGTCCGAGATGTGACGTTTTTTGATTTTTTCAAAGTTTCTCAAAGAACTTATCAACAAAGAAAATCAAAAAATTTGAAACTACTAACTTGATAAAGATACAACCTTATTGTCAGCATACACCCAGGCGTCTCAAATCTTGCCTCTTAAAATGAATTCTCAAATCCTTTTACTTTCCGAGATGAGACGTTTTTTCAATTTTTTTTTTTCGGGAAACTTAGGTTTAAAAAAAAATTCACAAAATTTTGGATTCCTAACCCTATAGTAGGGTGCTCTCAGGGACTCTCAGTGGTTGCAAATCTGGCCTCCAAATTTCTCCAGAGGCCCATTAAGTTTTCGAGATGACGCTTTTAAAATGGAATTAAAAAAATTTAAACGTTTGAAATTACCAACCCTGTTATTGGGTGCAGTCAGAGTACACTAAAAGTTTGCAGATGTTGTTTCCAATATATGCGGTTTTTCATGAGTTGTCGAAAAATTTTGAAGCACCGGAGGTGCGTTAAACGCTAGTCTTTTTTATATTTAAATGCGGGCTTCACTATCTCGCCATGTTTAAGCTTTTTCAACGCATTATTTTTGCATGTTTAAGCTATATCGTATATTGCAATGGTTAAGAGTTTTTTTTTCATTTTCCAATTTGATTTTAGTGGTTATTTTACCGAGTTTGAATTAAGCAGCCCAATATCGAATTATGAGCTGCGAATTTGGTCTCCAATTTTGAATGCCCGAATCATTTTAGTTAACGAGATAAGACGATTTTTGAGATTTTTTCAGAAATTTTCAGAAATTTCAAATAACAAATAATTTACAAAACTTGAAGTTCCCAACCCTGTAGTTGGGTACTGTCAGAGTACTATCAAGGATTGCGAGTCTTGCCTCCAAATATAACTGCTCAAATCCTTGTAGTTTTCGAGATATGACGTTTTTTGTGATTTTTCAAAAATTTTCAGAAAATTTAAATTATTTTTTTTAAAAAATCTGAAATTCCCAACCCTGTAGTTTGGTACTGTCAGGGTACTATCAAGGATTGCGAGTCTTGCCTCCAAATATGACTGCTCAAATCCTTGTAGTTTTTGAGATATGACGTTTTTTTTGTGATTTTTCAAAAATTTTCAGAAAACTTAAATTATTATTTTTTAAACATCTGAAATTCCCAACCCTGTAGTTGGGTACTGTCAGGTTACTATCAAGAATTGCGAGTCTTGCCTCCAAATATGACTGCTCAAATCTTTGTAGTTTTCGAGATATGACGAATTTTGTGATTTTTTCAAAAAATTTTCAGAAAATTTGTATTATTTTTTTTCGCAAATCTGAAATTCCCAACCCTGTAGTTGGGTCCTGTCAGAGTGCTCTCAAAGATTGCGAGTCTTGCCTCCAATTCTCACTTCTCAAATCCTTGTAGTTTTCTAGATATGACGTTTTTTGTGATTTTTTCAAAATTTTCAAAGTTTAAATTAAATGTTTTTCAAAATTTGAAATTCCATCCGCTATAGTTCGGCGTTGTCAGGGTACTCTAAAGAGTTTCAAATCTTGCCACTTGCGACTGTTGAACGCGACTGCTTAAATGCTTTTAGTGTCCGAGATGTGACGTTTTTTGATTTTTTCAAAGTTTCTCAAAGAACTTATCAACAAAGAAATTCAAAAAATTTGAAACTACTATTTTGATAAAGATGCAACCTTATTGTCAGCGTACACCCAGGCGTCTCAAATCTTGCCTCTTAAAATGAATTCTCAAATCTTTTTACTTTCCGAGATGAGACGTTTTTTCAATTTTTTTTTTTCGGGAAACTTAGGTTTAAAAAAAAATTCACAAAATTTTGGATTCCTAACCCTATAGTAGGGTGCTCTCAGGGACTCTCAGTGGTTGCAAATCTGGCCTCCAAATTTCTCCAGAGGCCCATTAAGTTTTCGAGATGACGCTTTTAAAATGGAATTAAAAAATTTAAACGTTTGAAATTACCAACCCTGTTATTGGGTGCAGTCAGAGTACACTAAAAGTTTGCAGATGTTGTTTCCAATATATGCGGTTTTTCATGAGTTGTCGAAAAATTTTGAAGCACCGGAGGTGCGTTAAACGCTAGTCTTTTTTATATTTAAATGCGGGCTTCACTATCTCGCCATGTTTAAGCTTTTTCAACGCATTATTTTTGCATGTTTAAGCTATATCGTATATTGCAATGGTTAAGAGTTTTTTTTTGATTTTCCAATTTGATTTTAGTGGTTATTTTACCGAATTTGAATTAAGCAGCCCAATATCGAATTATGAGCTGCGAATTTGTTCTCCAATTTTGAATGCCCGAATCATTTTAGTTAACGAGATAAGACGATTTTTGAGATTTTTTCAGAAATTTTCAGAAATTTCAAATAACAAATACTTTACAAAACTTGAAGTTCCCAACCCTGTAGTTGGGTACTGTCAGAGTACTATCAAGGATTGCGAGTCTTGCTTCCAAATATGACTGCTCAAATCTTTGTAGTTTTTGAGATATGACGAATTTTGTGTTTTTTTCAAAAAATTTTCAGAAAACTTGTATTAATTTTTTTCGCAAATCTGAAATTCCCAACCCTGTAGTTGTTGGGTCCTGTCAGAGTGCTCTCAAAAATTGCGAGTCTTGCCTCCAATTCTCACTTTTCAAATCCTTGTAGTTTTCTAGATATGACGTTTTTTGTGATTTTTTTCAAAAGTTTTCAGAAAACCTAAAATATTATTATTTTTTGAAAACCTGAAATTTATAACCCTGTAGTTAGGTCCTGTCAGAGTACTCTCAAAGATTGCGAATCTTGCCTCCAAGTATGACTGCTCAATTCTTTGTAGTTTCCGAGATATGACGTTTTTTGTGATTTTTTCAAAAATTTTCAGAAAACTTAAATTATTATTGGTTTTTAAAAATCTGAAATTCCCAACCCTGTAGGTAGGTATGTCAGAGTACTCTCAAAGATTGCGAATCTTGCCTCCAAGTATGACTGCTCAATTCTTTGTAGTTTCCGAGATATGACGTTTTTTGTGATTTTTTCAAAAATTTTCAGAAAACTTAAATTATTATTGGTTTTTAAAAATCTGAAATTCCCAACCCTGTAGGTAGGTATGTCAGAGTACTCGCAAGGATTGCAAATCGTGCGTCCAAATATGACTGCTCACTTCTTTGTAGTTATCGAGATGTGACGTTTTTTTGATTTTTTCAAAATTTCTCGAAGAAATTATGTACAAAGAAATTCAAAAAATTTGAAACTATCAACTCGATGAAGATACAATCTTATTGCTAGCGTACACCCTGGCGTCTAAAATCTTACCTCTTGTTATGAATGCTCAAATTCTTTTAGTTTCCGAGATAAGACGTTTTTTTCAGTTTTTTTCCGGGAAACTTAGGTTTAAAAAAATTCACAAAATTTTGAATTCCTAACCCTATAGTAGGGTGCTCTCAGGGACTCTCAGTGGTTGCAAGTCTGGCCTCCAAATTTCTCCAGAGGCCCATTAAGTTTTCGAGATGACGCTTTCAAAATGGGAAATAAAAAATTTAAAAAGTTCGAAATTACCACCCCTGTAATTAGGTGCAGTCAGAGTACACCAAAGTTTGCAGATGTTGTTTCCAATATATGCGGTTTTTCATGAGTTGTCGAAAAATTTTGAAGCACCGGAGGTGCGATGAACGCTAGTTAATCCAAAATTAGCACGCATCGCAACTTTTTTTTTGCTGATGTTGTTTGATCACACTGGAAGATTGAATCTACCATTGCGTCCGTAAGAAAGATGAGAAGGTTACTAAGACTTTGTTGAAATAGTTAAAGGATAATTCAAATAATCTTTTAGGGGTGCACCAAGAATTTTTTGAGAAGTTGATTTTTTAATTGTTAAATTTGGGCAATCGCCATGCTTACAACTCGGCCAATTTGTTTTTCCGGTTCCGAGCACTGCTGGAAGATTCAAAAAACCATTCTACCTCTGGTGTGTGGTCAATTTTTGTCTGATGAACGACTTCACCTGGTTTTGAATTTTGGCTTCATTTCAATTAATCAGTGCTCAGCACTGTCCGCGTTGTTAATTTTGAGAGAAAACTGAGTCAGTGACTCTCAAGGTTGTTTTGCAGACTTTTTCTTAGATGGCTAGAATTCAATACGTTCTTTTCTACAGGCAAAAATCGTTAAGCTTAATTTTATTTATATTTAGACTTCCGCGAAACAATGACAAACCGATTAGTGTTTAAATTTTCAATTTTAAAATCTGAGACGTTCCTTCATATTCGACAGCTCGCTGCTTATTTTGGATCAGTTTTTGAAAATAAATGTTTTATCCGGCTTCATTTTCAAAAATTTTGTCGACAAAGTTTTTTCGTTGAGCTGCGTCATGGTTTTTTTTAGCTTGAGCCTTTTGTCTAAATCCACTATGAGCCCCGCCTGTTGTTTGAGTGTGAGACTCTTAATCATGTATATAAAAAACAAGAGCTCGCCATGTCATTTGGACCAACTTTTGAAAATAAATATTTTTATTGTTAACCTCATTATTTCGAGAAATATTTGAAACTAAAGTTCAGTTTTGTAATTTCGCTTTGAAATTCATTCATTTCTAGTAACCTTCAAAAATCAACTGGCATTGGTGAAGCAGGATTCTATCAAGATACTTCTCAAACCAGTCTACCAGCGTCCCTTCAGACCTCCAGATGAGTGCCTCACCTTCTTCGGGAGACTCTTGTTGTCCGAGGATCGAGCCACGATTCCAGCCTGTCCTCTAGACAATGACGTCATTGAGATGATTGGGAACAGACCTGTGGTGTTCACGTTAGTTATACAACTGGAGAAAAAACTAGGCAAAATTGCACTTGAAAAAATTATCAAGTACTAATGCACGAAGCGAGTTTTATTGTTTTGGCTAGCTGAAAAAAAATTGTCAAAGAATATTTTTCCAAGTTGGGTTTGTTTCCGAGTTTTAGTAAACCAATTTTGCCATTCGATTGCTTAACGAAATTTAAGCATTTTCTTTGAAAATTTTTCTCTCTAAAATTTGGCTCCAATTCGCCTGAAACTTAAGCGTAATTTTAGCGCTGAACGAAAACTTTTACTATGTGCTAAGCTGTTTTCAACGAAAGATTTTAATTTTATGCAGGTATAAACTAGTGATGTAGCATCTCAAGTCTTCCAGTTCAGTTTTTTCAACGAAAGTTTTTTGTTTCAGTTATCCGGTTATCTGGATTGTATGTACTATTGGTTTCTATTTAGGTTTTAATTCAACTAGCATGATCTCTTTTTCCGATTAGATGCAAAATATCAATGCTGCTTGATAAATTTTGTGTCAAAGCTGTATAATTAAATCTTCGCTGCTTTTTTGTCTAAGGAAAGTCACTCTTAATCGGCCATTGCATCCCGCATGCTCCAAAAGAATTTAATTGTTGAAGAATTGGTATTCGCTCCTGGCTTGTATTAATTTTTCTTCGACCTCTAAGGACTCTTTTTTTCGTTATTTGCTGCGTGAGTTTGAGAATCGCAGCTTCTTCTCTGTGTAGAACACGGTGAAATAAAAAATTCATCTATTGCTTCATTTTCTCAAACTTGGTTGTTCTAGAAAGATGCCGTTTCTTCTTTACTAAGCGATCATTGCTGTTTGATTGCTTAGTAATCTATCCTAAATTATAAGTCGCACCTGAGTTGGGTCCGCTTCTTTTGGGTCGTCTAGAGAAGTCTTGTCCAGTGGTCTTCGTGCTCTGATTTGTCTAGTTCGCGAATATCTCGAGTTACTATTTTATCGAAGTCAGAGAAAAAACTAATTTCTGTTTTTATTCAAAAAAAGTGCTTTTTATAATTTTGTAAAATTGAAAAGGAAAACTTATTTATTTGGAAACTGAAATTATTAGAATAGAGAACTTGCTGCTAAGTGAGCAAAATGAAACACTGAAGGTTTCAGGCCAGTCTTTTTGCTCGTAAGCATAAACCGGCGGCTGATTGATCTATTAAAGTACTCAGGTTTCACCTGCTCCTTTAATCTCCCTTCATCACAAGAGAATTTTCAACTAGATTTTATTTGATTTTTACAAATCAAATATCCCTAACTTTTTAGTCCCCTCTGATTAAAACCGCAGCCTTCAGCTCGATTTTATTAAAAATTCAGTATTTTCTCTGATGTATCATATTCCAGGTGCATCTCTGCTTAATCAAAGCAAGGAGAAACCCTGGGCAGCCGGCAAGACTATTAAATATTAATTCTTTTTAATTTAAGTTATAGTTAAAAGGGACGTGTAAGTAATCGCCGCCCTGATGAAATACTGAGCATGAAAAAATGAGAAAAATACGACAAGTTTTTAAAAAGTAGTGGATTTTTCAAAACAAAATTTTATAGTCCTAATAAGAATAAATCAGTCAATGTACCTCAATAGAGGTATTGTTTTCAATGGCACGCTCCAATTTAGAATTGGGTTGTTAAATAAACATTTTAGACAAGGGTGCTTTGTGTGTATAGAACTTACAATAATACACTTCGAATTCAAAAAGAGTCATGTTAAGGTACTTTGCTTCTCGATAGCTCTAAATTTGGAAATTAATGAGCTAATAATTAATTTAAAACATTTTGAGCTTAAAATTTTGAAGAAAAAAAAACGTCTTTCTTGATTTTTGTTACAACTTTCAACGACGATGCCGGATTAAAACTTGTTCTTCGGGTGTTTTTTTTCTCCAGACAAATTTCGTCTTTTTAACTAGCAGTGTTTGATGGATTTTTTTTGTATCATTCGAAAGTTATTGTTGTCCTGAGCTCAAATTTAAAAATATCTATATTTCAGCTGTGATCATTTATGTACTTTATTTCAGCTGTGATCATTTATGTACTTTATTTCAGCTGTGATCATTTATGTGAAGTTATGAGTGTTCAAAAATATCACTTTGTACTTAGTATAGCTCGTGGGGGATGATTGTCTAAAAACCTCAAAAATAATGAAGTTTTTTTTAGAATTTCGTTTATTTTTTATTTCGGTTAAAACCGAACACTATTCCATAGACCTTAAAATGCAGCCGGAACACTCAGGGCTTTGTTTAAGCGAGCAGCACGAAAAATGCGCTGCACGAAACTACTAGTTTTAAGTTCACGCGTAGTATAGCTGACGATTTTCGCAGTGAGTTGGTGCAAGCTGATCGATTCAACTTTGAAATAAGATACAAAAAATCATTAAATTTTTTTTGAATCAAACTTATTGAATGTTCGAAGTTTTTGATTCCCAAAACGGCAATAAAAATCAAAAAATTATTTCACTCGAGTAAAATTAAAATTAAGCATAAACTAGCTATTTTAAACGGCCTAGCTTAAGCATAAATAAACCGGTTTTTCTAACCGGTTTTTCTCGACACTGGGAAAATTTTTTCTAATTTATTTAATATCATTTGAATAACAAGTGAAAAATTTTTAATATGATATATCACTCAACTCTCTGCGATGATTATTTGTGGTAGCTGATTTTGTGCGAAAAAAAATCTTAAACCGAATACGAAAGTCCCTCCCCCTTTTTCAAATGGCCGGAACAATTAGACCATACTGTTTCAGGGCGAAGCATTTCGGCGTAGTCAAGAAACTGCCGGTTGTTGGGAACCCCAAATTGGTTGCAGATTTCGCAGAGAGGAACAATATGTTGTCTGAGTTGTCTGTCAGCTTCGACATCTATCTCCTTGGCTACCCTGGGAGAGGTCTCCTGCAGAGCATCTTCCACCAGATGACTATTGGAGGATTCATTCGATCTTCAGCGCCTCTTGTGTTTCTTGAGCCAAACGTGAGCATTTAATAAACAAGAAGAATTCGAGCTCTATATAGCTTTGAGATAAACGACTGAAATCAATTGAAACTACTCGTAAGAACCAAAAAGGGGGTCTTTTCAAAGGGTAAGGATGCAAATTACTGGCGTATGGGATCTGTTTTATAAGAAATATGTTAATAAAAATCAAAATTAATGATCATTCGAATGATATCTTTATATTTTGTACAGAGTTGCTATGGAAAATGAAAAGATGCAAATCAGATTTAAATAATTCGGTTTTTTCCATAGCTTGGATCATTTTTTTAATAAATTTTGAGATTCTTGCTGACTAGGCTCTCATTTATTTTCAATTGCTCTTTTCAGGGCGATGTGAGAGTTGAAATTTTACAAGCGAGGGGCCAAACCCAGTCCTTCATTGCCCACACTAACTTACGACTGAGCTCGTGGTATCACCTCACACTCACTATAGACGCGAGAGCAGTGGGGACACTCTATGTGTGCAAGTACGATCAACCAGAAAGCTCACCGCTGAAAAAATGTCTCGAATACGTCTTCCAATTCAAACAAGCAATGCAATACAACCCATACGTGAACAGCTTTGTGGTCGGAGGAAGTATGAAACATCAATCAGTTTCGGGCTTTATTTGCAATTTCAACGTGCACCTAAACCGAATTGTCACAGTGCCGAAGCGAAGAACAAAGCAATCCGAAATTATGACTCAGCTGGTTGATTTAGAAATAGCAAAATTCGATACGCAGTGTCTCACATTTCTCGACAAAGTTGAAGCTTTGATCAAATATTTCCAAATTAGGGCTGAAAATCGGAAGTCTAAAATGCAATGTGACGCATTGCCTTGGGCATCTAAAATTTCTGTCGACAAGAGAGTTAGTCCGATATCTGTTAAATGGTCTAGTAAACACAAATTTATCAGAAGTCTCTTGAAAAAGGACTTAATGAATGGCCTGAAGGTTTCTTTTGATAACCAAACGTACTTACAGCAACTAGGGCGATCATTGTACCTAAAAGCAAGAATGTCTCTCGGAATTGGCTTACATGAGTTCAAATACAAGCTCGTTCCTTATGTGCTTCAATCGTCGTGTCTTGGCAATAGTATTGCTTCATATATGGCTTCCGTTATGTACTATTCGGGCTTTGGCGTTCCTTTAGACGACGAAAAGGGCTCGTCGTACTTGCTTCGAAGTGCTCTGCTAGACGATCGTCTCGGCTTATTGTCACTGGGGTTCAAGTACTACTATGGACTGAATGGGTTCCCCGTGGACTATAGTATATCGTGGCGATATTACATGGATGCCGCTTGGATGTTCCGAGACGACCGTGAACAGCACAAGGAGAATGACGTCATGACTGAAGTTGTCCGGTTGACTGACAAGAAGGCCCTGGAAATGTACTTGGGAAAAGAGAGTGACTACTTCCAGGTTAACTTTTCCCAAAAAAAATCTCAAGCTCTTATTGTTTTTCACGCGATCGAACATTTAAAAGATTAAAATAGCATTGTGCTTTTAGAAGTAGTGTTAGACATTAGTTTAAAAAAAATGGAACATTCTCTGCGGTTTTACTTTTTTTTTTCAATTGTTTCATTCAGAAAAAAAGATGGGGTTGTGACATCAAATAATGGTACTAAGTCATTACACGAATCGAGTTGATGATCAATTGTTTGAGTGCTCAATTTATGCAGGTTAAATTTTCCAATGTTTCTGACGAAAAATATAGCCTCCTCTTAAATTATCGCCGAATTCGTTTTTTTTTTGGTTTTGTCATTTTTGCTCATGTATATGCTTAATGAATCATAACCTGTGTGTGACGGTTGTTGTAAATAGAACTGTGACTAATTATAGTGGCTGAAGATGCAAGCTGGCCAGGGCATAGAGAGTGCCAGGCAGGAGATGGGTCGGATGTTGTTCTGGGGGTCCAAGGGGGTGGACAGGGACACTGGGGCAGCTGTGAACTACTACAGACAACTAGCAGACACGGGCGACACCACCGGACAATTCGATCTAGGTAAGTATGCTTTTGGTTTCAAAATTGCCATTTTAAGTACTTTTAGCAAATTTTTTCAATTGTTTTGGCCAGTTTTTTAGATACTATGCTTAGATATTGAAAAGATCGGCAAATAATGCGGTGCTCAACCTGCGTTTGCCGATTGAAAAAACTTGATGGTTTGAGTAATGTAATGATTAAACTTTGTGCACCAGTATTATGAAGCTCTTAGTTGTTTGTTTTAATGAAATGTTCGACTCGGAGTCTTTTCCTGACGATTGTAAAATAGCGAAAGTGATTGCCCTGTTCAAAATTGGAAGTGAAATTGATTTTGATAATTACCGACTCATCAGCCTTCTATCAACTATAAGCAAAACTTTTGAAAAACTAATTTATAGAAGATTGGTCAAATTTTTACAGAAGTATAAAATTCTTTGCCCTGAACAGTTTGGCTTCAGACAAAAACATTCATGTGTACAGGCAATCTCACGTATAGTCGAATATATGCGCTCAGTTTTGGAACGAAGAGATAGTGGAATGGCACAATTTCTAGATTTTAAGAAAGCATTCGACACTGTCGATCACGATATCTTAATCATTAAATAAGAAAAATATGGGTTCCGTGGTAAATTTTTAAATTTGTTGAAAAATTGTTTAATTAACAGAGTACAATTTGTAAGTGATGGTATCATAAATTCTTCATTTGAAAAAATAACTTGTGGAGTTCCCCATGGTTCGGTTTTAGGTCCTTTATTGTTCTTGATTTATATCGATGATATTTCAAATGTAACAAAAACATCCGAGATATGCCTTTTTGCCGATGATACTGCTATTGTTGGTTCTGGTAAAACGAGAGCGTTTTTGAAAGAATTCAGAACAGATACTCAGAGCCTAAATGACTGGTGTAATGTCAACAAGTTATCGATTAATACAGGCAAGAGTAAACTGATGGGTTTTGGTAAAGCTATGCCTGATGCCTCAATTTCCATTGCTGGTGAAAACATGGAAAATAAAGACAGTTTCAAATACTTGGGTTTTGAAATTCACAAAAAATTGAATTTTGATATGCAGACTGTAAAAGTTTGCACGAAAATTTCCAAATTTAATGGTGTTTTATATCGAGGAAGATCTTGTTTCTCTTAATTAAGTTTTACATTGCATACGTGATTTCACTAATGTTTTATGCCTTATTAGCTTATGAATGTACATCCAAAATCAAACCTTGATAAAATTTTCTTGGCACAGAAAAAAATCATAAGAACCATTTTGTTCCTTCGAAAGTATGATCATGTGTCGGAGTATTTTTCAAAATTCCAGCTTCAGAGTTTACATGAAATTTTTATCAGCCAATTGTTTTCCGAGACAATATTTCAGTTCCTTGGAGAATCGCCTTTAAAATTTTTGAATCTTGATTATTTAAAAACGCGTCGTAGTACCCGGTCGAATAATTTAGGTTGTATACCCTTACCTTTAAGAAAATCAAAGTTAGCACAAAATTCGGTTTCGTACAAAATTGTGAAATGCTTTAATTTCCTAATGTCAAATAACCTATTGCCTCTTAACCTTAACGAGTTTACTGACAAACAGAAGAAAGACTTCCACGTGAAATTAAAAAAAGTGTACTTAAATGACAATCGATTACTTGCTGACATGTTTATAGGGTAAATTTCGTGTACCCTCATATTTTAACTCGGTTTTGCTTTCACTCTTTTATCTAGGTTTCCCTTAGGTTACTGCTAGTTGGGCTGTACTGCCCGTACAGTAACCTTAATGCAGTATTTAAGTACACATATGTGATCTTTATACTGTCTCTAAATTCAAATTCACTTCAGTCAAATAAAATTTTATTTGTCAATGAATCTTACTTCGTACAATTTCGCCTAAATGATTTCACCCAAAGCCTTATTTAACTTGAAACTTTTCTCTAAACAATTTCACCCTAATGATTTTTAAAGTGAAATTGTTTAGAGACTTGAAACTTTTCTCTAAACAATTTCACCTTAATGATTTAATGATTTCCCAGGTTTGTAGGTGAAACGAGCGCGGTTCACCTACAAACCTGGGAACCGCGCTCGTTTCTTCTAAGAAAGTTTCACCTATACTATAAAAACAAGTAGCAACTCCACTGCAGGCGTGGACCTAGGACTTTCTAGAAGGGAGGAAGATCGGGTTTCCAATAAATGAAAAATTGTGTCGATCTTTTTTAGGTCTAACGAATTGATTTTTCGGGCCCTCCCAAAACACTATAAAGACCCTATATAGACAAAACTTTGTGCAAGTTTTTAGGAACTTCTTAGACGGTTTTGACTAAAATATTGAGTTTTTCTTCACCATTCTGAAAATAGGTAAATTGGAGCCAAATGTCCCTTTAAAAAATTTAAGTTCGCTCGGCCGAACATGAACTTCATAAAATAGGTCAAAAAAAAGAATCAAAGGTGACGTGACGTGGGTTCAAAATCGACAGGATGTAGTTTTGTTTGAAATTTGATTGGCTTTGTTTTGTTCTAGGAATAGTGTTGTTGCGCGGACAGGGTGGGGTGGATAAAGATGAGCAGAAAGGGCTGTCCTATCTGAAGAGGGCGGCCGACCAGGGTCACCAGGGAGCAGTGTCTGCACTTGGGTGGCACTACCTCCTCAAAAGAGAGTACGACTTCGCTTTCAAGTACTTGGACATGGCTGCCAGGCAAGGTACATACAATGTCATGCCAATAAAGAATTGGCCAAAATCAAAGTTCCCTTCAATGATAAAAAATTTTGCGGCAAATTGTTTTTTTAAGAACAAAAAGTTGAATTTAAAAAAAAAACGAATGAAAATCTTAAGCTATCAAAATTAGGTCTTTTGACTGGCCACAAAATTATGACCAACGGCAGTTATTTTCCTCTGAGTGAATGAAGCCTATAGAGTGGCTCACGTAATCTTCGGAAAGTGATTATCTCAAAAGTGTAAATATATCCATTGAGCAATGAAGTGTTTTACTTACAAAATTTTCTTTTTTTCAGGCAATCGGGATGCTATGCATAATTTAGGCTACATGTACGAAAATGGACTTGTGAAAGGTGTTCCACGGAACAACTCCGCCTCTTATCTCTACTTCATTGATGCCGCCAACCGAGGTCAACCTGACTCCGCTCTCTCCGTCTCAGTGGGTCAAATTTACGGGGATGGAATCATGATTCAGAACCCCGTATCGGCTGCGGGGTGGGCCCGAAACCAGGCAGAGAAATCGTCGGCTGTCGGCAGGCTGCTGCAACAGGGGTTGAAGGCGTACCTTAAGGGGCGATGTGTTACACTTCAATTACCAGCTGCAAGATTAAAGCAATAAATGTCAAGTAAACTATTTATACAGGAGCGGATCTAAGGTTTTCTCCAGGGGGAGAGGCTAATTTTCAAAAAAAAGTTCGTTGGAAATTCTTAAGGCCGACTAAATTGATTTTTCGAGCTTTCCCAAAGTACTAGAAATACCCTATTCTGCAAAAAAATTTGGGCACTTTGAGCAAAAGCTTACATTGGGCTTTTTTGCAGGGTTCTGACCAAAAAATCGCATTTTTTGGCGCGCTTTCCTCTTCAAATTTATTATACATCGGCAACAAAAGCTCTTTTAGAATAAATTTAGTGTTGTTAGGTCAAAATTTAATGTTCTAATTTAGTATCAAAGGAGGGAGGTTCAAAACCGCTATTGATTTTTTGTGCAACTAATTAAAAAGATAATCCAGAGTTGCCCATTCATTCATTTTCAGAAAATTTATCATTACCTTGCGTTACTTATTCGGCTGCTATGGTATGTTTTTCTATCCAATCCAAATTTTTAATGAATATCTAAATAATGAAACTGCTTTTTAAAGATTTTCGGAGCTCTATTTTTTATTGCCGTTTAAACTTTCTTATTTTATAACAAAGATGCTTTTAACGTTAATGCAATAAATTAACCTATTTGAAAATGATAAGAACGAATAGACTAGCTCCATATCGCCCCTTGCTCTGTCCAGGACCACTATTCGGAAGCACTCATGTTCTATATGATGGCAGCAGAAACAGGGGTGGAGGTGGCTTCTTTCAACATGGCCCACCTGTGTGAGAACGAAGAGGACGCCTCCGAAATAGCCAACAGGCATCTGACCCATTAAACTTTAAGCTACCCAAGTTTTAGGGGCTAATTAATTACAACCTATATATGAGCCGTTAAACTATTTTTGAAGTCATCTCAAGTTTTTTTTTATTAAATAATTACTGGAGTTCGAGTTGTAGATTCCTTTTAAATTCAGGGAAAATTTATGCATTCAACCGATACAATAACGAGAACTTTAACCCAATGTGAAACTTTGATTTCATGTAGCCCTTAGCGCTTTTTTGAACATTGAATTCTTCATATCTTATATCTAAGCTAAACTTATTGGGCTAAGACTAAATAATATTGGGTTTTCGTGATTGCTAATATAAACTCATATCTTCATTTCATCTGGGGTCGTCTAAGTTGAATGGGTGTTATGTGGTTAGTTACATCGGGTCCCACTGTGCGTACAGTTACTACAACAAGAGTCTCAATAGCTTCCAGCCTCATTCTTACGCCATAAACAGAGTGGGCGACTTCTACTTCTTCGGCTGCAGCACAGAGGAACCAGCCGACATAGATAAGGTAACGAGCTTCAATTGTGATTCAAAGTAGTTTGTACAATTGCAAAATGTCGACAGATTGGTCCCTCGCAAAATCCATTAACGAGAGAAGGGTCTCTGTAAAACCTTTGGTGGCAGATGGATCCCTGCAAAATCCAATGGTAAGAAAAGGGTCCCTGTAAAACCTATGATGACAAAGAGGTCCCTGTAAAATCTATGGTGTCATATATATATTTGACGTATATTCAGTGACTCGAAGCGAGAGATTGGTGGTGAAGTTGCCGAGGTCTCCGCTTCTTAGTTGAGGCCCACCGTGATCCGTACTCAATGCTTCAGAGTCAGGCATGTAGTTCCTATTTAAAGGGCTCAAAAGTGATTCTCCGTAATAAGCTGAATAATTCATCTAATCGTCATTTTCCTTTAAGATAGTTTTTCAATAAACTCGGAGCAAAGATTCGAGTCAATATCTTTTATATTATGAGCCACTGCTTTTTGGTGCAGATTTACAATCTTTCATAATCGGGCACTTTTTTTACTTTCCCGTTATCAACTGTATTTAAGTTTTGAGGCGTTTACTTGGCGATGGGTGCGCTGACAGGCTCAATTTCTCGAAAGTTTGAGTTTTGCTACCTTTACTGTCTTAGGAGTTCCAAAACATTTGAAAAAACCCTATACATCTGAATAGTGTATATAGCATATTGTATAGTCTTACCTATAGTAGATGATTAGGTTCACGAAACAGTGGTACTATTATGAAATCTTTTAGGCCCTTGAACACTACATTTGGGCGGCTGAGTTGGGAGACGCGCAGGCCTTCTACAATTTGGCGTACTTGGCCCAGCTGGGCTACAAAATATCAGACCGGCTGAGGCACACATATCTCCATATTCCCCCGGAGTCTCTCGAGGATCACCAACATCTGCAACTCTACCTCTACAGGGATGTTATAGTGCTATAATATGTACTAATGCCATTATATTATAATAATATATTATAATTTTATATTATAACAAGACTGCTCGAATCAGGGCGAAGCCCTGAATGTTCCGACTGCCTTTTAAGGTCTATGGAGCAGTAATAACATGTAAAATTTAAATGTAATAAAGTAAAATTAAAATTTTTTTTCTAAAAAGTTTGAGATTTTTTGTCAAAACATCCCCCACACGCCATATTAAGTACAAACGGATAGATTTTTCTCCTATTAACAAATCAATTATGGCATATAAGCTTCCTTGAACCAATTTGGAACGATTTCTAAGACGGATTAAATCTCGCTTACGCGTTAATAGCGCGAAATATATCGCGCGTTAATTGTCCCAAATTGGCCAAAATGGCAATCTTTAAACCCTCATAACTTTAGAAAAAACGATCACAGGTGAAATCTCTTGTTCAAATTTAAGCTCAGAACAACAATAGTTTTCGAATGATGAAAAAAAATTCCGTCAAAAATGGCTAATTAAAAAGTCGAAATTTGTCTGAAGAAAAAAAAAACCCACCCGAGCACAAATATTCCGTTACTTTCGTATCGAAAGTCGGAACAAATAAGGCCACTGATATCATAAGAAAAGCATGGTATGCTTTTCCCATCAGGGTTTACTTTTTACTTAAAATTGTTCAAAAATGTGCTAAAAAGTGGGAATCAGTATACTTGTTACAGAAAAAAAAAAACGAAATAGATAGTTATGTTAACGATATTTTGATAAAACATCCCTGTTTTTACTACGCTTATAGTAAATGTGAGGAACTGGAACTGGCTGCTGATCCCGAAAACAAACTATTCACTCCCTGTTCAGTGGCGAAGTACAACTGGATGATGAAACAGTCCTACAAGACTTACCAGACCGAGATCAAATCGGCATCTGTGATTGTGACTCTAACTCTGATGATGCTGTTTTGTTATTTTTCAGTTTCTAGACGGGGAGGGCATCATTTAACATCACCGTATATTTTGAACAGTGTGTAGCAGAAATGGGATTGGAAAAATTACCCCAATATTTAAAACTTCGATTGAGTTTGCTCATATTGTGCTGGAAATAAATTATTTAGTTTTGCTTAAACTACTTTTGAGTTGAGTTATTTGCTCACCGCTTATGCCTTTTCGCTATAGCTGCTTTTTGCAATCAGGGTTGTTTTAAGGGGGCGTCACACTTTTTGACTTTTGAGTATCTAAATTGTCGTCATTTGGTACTCTTTTACAACCATTTTGAACGATTTTTTCTCAAAATTTTTCAAAACAAGTTTTCTATCACTTTAGGCATATGTGATTTCTTCTCAAAAACTTACCTGCTTGGTGAATGAATTTAGCAAAAAAAGTATTTTGAGAGCTTGTATATTCATTTCGGTCCGGCGATAAAATTTAGAGACAATCCTAGATCGGCCTATGGGCAGAAATATTTTCTTTGTACTGTTCTTGAAAATATTTCACGTGACTCCGTAATTTGTCAAAACGATTGAAAGCGATTGGAACTTTTTCGATACGTGGAAATCGACCTGCATACAAGCAATCACTGAGAGCTAAAAGCCTATACAATTATGTGAATCTTGTATCTTTTAGTATTTTTAAGCATTTGAAACCCAAAAAAATGCTATCGAAATCAATGTTTTGACCATAACGAAAAATTTGTGTGACGTATTATCGTATAGTTTATCTTTCTTACAAAAACGTATGAATTTGTAACTTTAATTCCGTTATTCACACGCAGCAATCGTAAAATTTTCTAAAGGTGCCAATATATACTAGTTTTGAAGGGGAGCGCGCGCCAAAAAAAACGCAATTTTTTACTCAAAATTTTTCAAAAAGTGCCCATAAACGGCAATTTTGACCTGTTTTTTTTTAATTTGACTGCGGCGCAAAACTTTTTGTCAAAATAGAGTTTTTATACTGTTCTGGGAGCGCTCCGAAAATCAATTTAGTCGACCTAAAAAAAATCAAAATAGAGTTATTGAAATTTTCTCCGATTTCTTGTTTATGCCAAAACGCAATATGACTCTGACTCCAAAATTTGGTGTTTTTGAAAACTGTGCAAGGGAGCATTTTTAATCTGAATGTTTCGTAACTGTTTTTCTACGGTAAAATTTCGGAGTGTTTTTTTTCGCTGGGTTTGGATCGTACTCAATGCTGCTGTCTAAGCTAGCGGGCAGCTAGTGTTTCAAAGCGAACCTTCTCTTTTTTTTAACATAACTCGCAAATAGAAGAGCTCAATTAAAGTGTTCACTTGTGTGCCTTTTGGCTATAATCATGATCTGTAGCATTGAAAACTTCATAGCATCTGTTCTCTGCTTTATTTGTGGGTACTTTTTGTGATGCGCTAAGCGTCCGTGCTCGAGTGGTTAGTGCGTGAGACTCATAGTTTCTCATCGTAGGAGAATATCCGAGACGTCGCTGCTTTTTTTTTACTAACTCGCGGTCTATTTTTACTTTTTCTTATTGGACTTTCTAGAACTCTAGAGCTGCTTTTTGTCGTGTTCTGACTAGTGTTTGCGAAGCATCGCCTTTGTGTTACATTTTGATCAGGCATTCCGATGTTACAACAAAAACGATTTTGGTCACTATACTTTGCTTCCTCTGAACTTGACCAGTGTCTAGCATACTCTGCATGAAACATCATAATATGCAGACTGATGTTGCACCAAAATTGAAATCAACGTCTAAGGCGTTTGAGCAACCGTTACTTCAGTTTCTGCATAAATTGGGGCATTTTTGAGCTGCTGAACCAGAAAAAACTTTGAAACCGTGAGTTTTTTCTCTGCTTTCAGAAAATAGTAACTTCCTACACCTAATTTAGGTAATGCAAAAACTAGTTTTTTTATTGATTTTTATCATCAACAAAAAGCATGTTCAGATGTGCTTTAGATCTGATTTAGATCATACCATGACTCCAACAGATAAGTTATTTTTTTAGAACAAAATTATGTATACTGAAAAAAGTGTATTTTGTTGTGTTTTATATCCATTGCTTTCGCGTTTGTTGTAAAAATAATATACTTATTGTTTTTGCAGTTGTTGACAAAATTTGTTTTTTTTGTGAGTTCATATCAAATTAAACTGGAAAGCTTGTTAGCGTAGTGCATTAGTACCAAACTTTTTTTCTCCAATCGAGCTCGCAAAAATAAGCGCTCATTTGGTGTCACTTCAATCACAATCTGTAGCATTCGAAATTTAATAGCATGCGTTCTATGCTTTGCTTGTGGCTAGTGTTCGTGCATTGTTAAGCGTCCGTGGCTGAGTGTTCAGTGCGTGAAATTCTATGTCTCATTGTTTGCAGGAAAAAATTCGACACGTAGCCGAATTTTCACTAAGTTAAGGTTCATTTCTTTTCTTATTTCACTTGACCGAGCGGCTATTGTCGTGTTTTAGCTAGTGTTTGCGAAGCCCGGCTTCGCTCTGTGTAATCGATGAAATGAGACTAATGAAAGATGCTGCCGTAATATGCACTAAAACTTCGGCTTGCACAAAATGCGGTTTTCGAATATTTGCCCTTACATATCCTTCTTTTAAGCTACCCTTTAGTTTGCCGAATT